CCATCTGTTTCCGTCTCCCCTCCCAGAGAGGCATCTGAATCCTCGTTAGTGCAATGCACAGCTTGCTAAGGCAAATGTCATAATGAATCCTGACTTAGAAATTTCTCAAGAGTTCATCAGAAGAGAGTTTATCTTTCAGTGGTGACCTTTCCTGTTGCACGTGGATTAATGTACGATCGGGTCTGTGCTAACACGGCAGTTTGCAGGAACGGGCGCTCGATAAGCGAGCTCCTGGAGCTCCACCTGCTCCCTGCAGCTCTGCTCTGTACCCCCCATGCAGCTCTCTGCTGGAACAGTGTGTTGAGAAGTGCCTCACATGCATTCAGTGTGTGCAGAGAGCTCTGCAGAAGGATGCCGAGGTGAGTTAGTAGTCAAAGAACCTTGCTCAATGTAGTGCTGTCTTGAGGTTACAGATGCGTTTTAAAATTAGCTGCAATTTGACATTTATTTTAGCAGAAGACTCGGTAGGTTCTCTGCTCAGACAGAGCAGTGCTCAGGGAGTGAGTGCAGTGAGTGTGCAAGGATCGGTGTCTTCTCTGTAAGGAAAAACACAGCAAATTCTAAGGGAAGGAAACGCTGCAGGAAGTGTCCCTGTTCTCATCACTCAGCTGCTGTCAATTTTTTTTCTTAGGTGTAGGAAGAGCTTCCCCAGCCAAGAGGATGGGGCTGTCTGGGCTTGGGAATGGTGAGGCTGGTTAGCTGTGACTTACAGACACATCTCATCTTTTTCACATCCGTTCCACTTCGATCTGATGCAGGGCTTTGTGGTGACACCTGGGGCTGAAAATCATGCATAGTGGAAACCGTTGTGTTGGAGGTACCAAGTCACAGTTTCAGGGCTGTGAAAACATCCAGTGCAGGATGGTTCCCTGTGCAATCAGTTGATAAATTGGAGCTCAATTCCGATCCTGGAAACAGGTGCAGTGTCTGCCACGGCTTCCCGAGCGCTTGAGGTGGGAGGGCATCGCCCGCTGGGACCCACAGGAAAGCAGTAGGGCTCTGCTCCAGCACTGACCAGAGCGATCTGCGGCTCGCTGCTCTCCTCCAGCACAGCACAATCCTTGCCAGTTTGCCAGCAGTGCACTTCCCAACATCCACCCGTGGTTATTTCCAGCTCTGTCTGCAGGATGTCTGACCAGGGGAATGTCTCAGGTGCTTTGCAGGCTGCGGTGCTTTAATCTCAGTGCTCTGTGCCTCTGCACCCAACAGCACCTGCAGCTCTCGGATGGCTTCTGCTGTGAGCTGACAGCTTTGTCCTACAGCTGACAGCTTTGTCCATCTCCACAGTCTTAATTTTTTTTTGAGGGCTGAAATGGCATCCAGAGTCAGGAGAGTTTTGTGTTTTGTTTTCTGCTTCATTTCAGTCTCAGATTACTTGCAGGTTTGTGTATAACAGATTTCTTTTCAGGCATTTCTTACCCAAACGCACTGTATTCTGCATGTTGGGAAAGTCATTCAAGGTCCCTTTGCAGTTGTTTCAAAGCGATCATAAAACTGCCTCCAGCTCTAGGTGCGCTTCAGTGCAGCTATTGTAAGAAGACAAATATTTAGCAACTCACCATGGCTGAGTGAATCGTTAAAGTACGGCTTTCTCAGGACTGTTTAGTCTCCTGGTAATTATGAGAGCTTTTCTCTTTCATTTATCGGGTCTGGAGCAAAGTGTCAGCTCTGTAAAAGCTTCCAACCCTTTCTGTGAAGTTCTGCAAACAGCTGTTAGCAGGCGGTGCACAAAGTGCTGCCTGGGCACCCCGCGCCCACGGAGCTGTGCGAGCGGAGCGGAGGGCGTGCTTTTGTGTCACACGTTTGTCTGCAGCCACTTCTGTGATCATCAGGATGTAGTACCAAATTGATGCTCAGGAGATAGAAAATTGCCTTTTTCTTACGTTGCATACCTACAATCAGAAGGATGTTGAATAAACAGCTGCCAACTCCTTCCGCACGTATGCAAGCTGGTATTCCTGAATTTCTTAGAGCTGTAAATGGCTGGGGCTGGGCTGCTTTGGGGGATGGAGCATCTCTTTCTGGCTCCTCGCTGCTCGACTTGCTTTCAGTAAGAGTTTGGGACAGGCTGAGTACATCTTCTTATTATCTGTGCATGGACTCGTAACTGTGGCTTAATGATGCAGAGGTGCTGCAGTGTGTGTGTGTGTGTGCGTCTGATCCGCTGCCCCACTCGCACTTGGTTCAGGGGCTGGCTCAGCTCCTCATCCTGCAGCTGCAGAGGCCACAGAGGTGTTCATTCATAGGACATTCGACTCGCAGCACCCCAGCAGCCTTACTCCATGCATCTCACTGGGGCTGGCTGCAGTGCATGAGTCCCACTTGCTGTGGTGTAAAGCAAGGGCAGCCTTTGTGTCACATACCTGCTGCTGGGTGCCCCACTGCCAGCCCAACCTCTGCTCAATGCCATTTTGAAATGGTGTAATATTTGATCACTGTATCTCAAAATTAAATATTGAGGCATTCTACAGGCGTGTTCGTGCCAGCCCCGACATGCCATCAGTGGGCTGCATCAGAGATGAATATGGCCTTGCACCTCAACTTTGATTTTTAATGAAATGCTCCGTGCACCTCTAGATGAGAGCTGTGTGATTTGGGGACCATGTCTTCTTGGTGCGATTTGCACTTTTTCCCAGCAAGCCACACGCTGCAGGAAGGCAGCTGTGCAAGGTGCAGGGCCACACTGCAGGGCTGGGGGCAGCACGTGGGCTCCATGCAGAGCCCTGCTCACCCCTCGTGCCTCATGCCATGGCTGTCTGCAGCTGTACTCATGCTCTGTGCTTTGGCACCTTCCATCTCTGAAGGACGTGTTAAAGAACGTTAAGGCCAGATTGGATGGGACTCTGGGCAGCCTGGGCTGGTATTAAATGGGGAGGTTGGTGGCCCTGCATGTGGCAGGGGGTTGGAGATTCCTGATTCTTGAGGTCCCTTCCAACCCTGGCCATTCTGTGATTCTGTGAATGTTCCACATGTCCCAGCCAGGCGCAGGGCACGGCCTGCCTGCAGAGCGCTGCACGGGGCTGAAACACCCACATCCATTTTGTTCAACTAGAAGGAAGAAAAGGAGAGGAAAAAAGCACTGGCTTATAGTAATAAAGGGCTTTTGAACATCTCAGCTGGATATTTTTCTTCACGAGTGAGAAGGCCAAATGCTATCTTGACATTTAATCTTTAATAATAAAAAAAGGTACTTTGTTTGCCAGTGAATTCCAAAATAATCTGTTTACTCTCTCATGCCTTATTACTTTTAACTTGCCGGCTTAGATGACCTACTTACTTTCCCCTGCTACCACTTTACAGCCACATAAAACCATTTACTTTGCAACATTTACTTCCCTGTCATTGCAGAGCCAACGGTTGCCGTGTTTTTGACTGGTTAATCCTTTGGGTTGAGGAACGCGTGCCGTCAGCGTGGTGGGGACGGTCATGGAGCCACAGCAGCACGGCGCGTTGCCCCAGATTCTCACTGCTGTGTGCTGCTGCAGTTTGCAGTCAGCCTGCAGCCCGGTTTGCCTCTCGGGAGCCTTGCTGTGGGTCGCTCCTGCGGGGCAGGCGGCACTTGCCCTGCAGTGCTGTTTGTCCCCTATAGACCCTGCTGTGTTGACCTGCAGGCTGGTGGCTGGGCTTACTGCAGGCTGTCTGGAAGCTCTTCAGGTGCACGGCGGAGGTAGGCAGGGAGCTGTAGTTGGAGGAGGAGGCTGAGGGAGTCGTGGTGCAGGCTGAGCACAGAGGTGATGTGAGTTGCCAGCGGTGCCCGTTGCACGGCTCCAGGGAGGTTGTGGTGATGCTGTGGTCGTTGTGGCAGATCAGAGCCTGCATTCAGGACATCCTTAAGGGCCATTTTGGTGTCCAGGGCTGAGCTGCAAGAGTGTGGTCGGTCAGGCTGCGGTGCCAGGTCAGCAGCAGCATGTCGGCAGTGCTCCGTTGGCAGTGCTGTGTCAGCAGGGCCGTGTTGGCAGGTCGTGTTGCAGGACTCTCCCGCTTCCAGCGCCATCCCCATCCGCTCTCCCTGCCGCTGACTTTTCTTTCACATTAAATCCTCTTACTCATAAACTTCACATCCAAGAACAACAGTGAGGAATGGCAGAAGCCTGATCATCTAACATGCTTTAATATCTAAATCTGTTCTTCAGTATCATTCTTGTTTACATTGTTTTTCTGTCTCAAAAAAAAAAAAAAAAAAAAAAAAGTGAAGGGAGGAAAAAAATAAAATTTACTTCCACATTAGGAGGTGAGTTGCCATACACCCTCTGGAATTCTTTTTTTGCTTTGAATCTTTATTTATTTGTTTAATTTTGGTTGATGTCCCCCCAGCGTGGTTTTGGAGATGAAGGTAAGTCTTCAATCTCCAAATCTAAAGAAAGGCAAATTAAATAAAACAATACTCTCCTTGGTCATACCTAAAAAATAAACCCAAACCGTTCCATTCCATACCATTAAAAAAACAAATTAACTATTGAGCTGTTTCTACAGCTTATCAATTTAAAAGGGCAGGTTTTTTTCCAAAGTATCAAATGGATCCAAAATGATTTTACTAGATGCGATTGAAGTTACTTGCTGTCAACATTTTAATATCAATATTACCACAATGTGTAGTCTCAAACTAGTTCCTTTGTAGTTTGCATGGGATGTGAATGCTGTCTCGGCGTGCCCAGACCTAGAGAACTTGTTACTACTGCATGAGCATCAAGTCAGATGTTGAAAAATATCTATTATATTTTGTGATAATTTGGTAAAAATGAGCACCTACAGTCTCTGGTTGCAGTAGTGTGTTGAATGATCGTTCTTTTTTTTTTTATATATATTCATATATATATTTTGGAGCTCTAAGCTTCGTAGTAGTACGGGCTGACTATTATTCAGTACTTGCTCTCCTATCGCATGGCCTTGGTTAAGTGTTAGAAGTTGGGCCTAGGCTGTTTATTCTGGTGTTTGGCTTTGTGATAACGGTGCATGCCCGGCGTCTGGCCTCATACCCAGCTTTATTCTCTGCACACCAGTCTTGAATAGCTACAGTGCTCAACCGAATTTTGGCGCACCCGCTTCCCCGGCAGGCTCCAACCCAGCCCGGCCCGGAGGCTTCCCTGGGGCCAACAGCCCTGGGCCCGTCGCAGACCTGTACGGCACGGCCAGCCAGGACTCCGGCGTCGGCAACTACATAAGTGCTGCCAGCCCACAGCCGGGCTCCGGCTTCAGCCACGGGATCGCCGTGAGTACCGCGTGCCGGGAGGGGACGCGAGGGGGTTTGGTGTCTTTTTCGATGACGGAACGACGGGCTGCTTTGTGCACGGCTCCTGTAGCCTCCAGCGCTGGGCACAACCCTCTGCAGGCGCTGAGGTTTCCCGCAGCCCTGCACTCTGCTGTCCCAGAGCCGCTGGAGTTGCAGTGCAGACTGGAAACAGTTGTCTGAGCCTTAGCTGCACCAATGTGGCGTGTTTTGAACAGCCCTATTTAACAGATACAAGCTTCTGCTTGTCTAGATGGGCTTCCCATCAGTGGAACGGCCCGTTGAGGCCGGTGTGCTGCTTGCAGGCAGTGTGCCTGGCCTCTCCTCACACCCAGAGGAGGAGAAGGGTTCCCGGGACACCAGGCCTGCCCGTGTCCCAGCAGTGGCACAGAGCCATGGGGGCTTGGAGCTTCCAGCCCCTGCCCTGCCGGCGTCGGTGTGTAGCAGAGGATGTGGGCATGGGAGGTGGGCGCCGCCTCGTCGGGGCACCTTGAGGCAGCTTAGGGGGTTGCTAACGGTCCTTAAAACGTGCAGGTCACAACTAAGTCACTGCTGTTGTGTTGTCAAGTCATTGGAAACGTATTTCTGTCATGCTGCATGGTTCTGCAGGCTCACTAATTACGGGCGATGGAAATTTGCTTAACAAAGCTGCATGCTGTTTTTCAGATTGCACTGTTTTACCTGTGTGTGTTAGCATGAATGTGGTTAAACCGCTTTAGTGACTGTCAGTCTCCAAAACAGAAAACCAGCAACCTACACTGTTTTCCCTTTTTCCATAAAATGCTGAGAAATCTTTTCCTCTCATAAAATAAACATGTCAAAGTACAGAGATCTCCCCTGAGGTTTTCCAAACTAAAATGACAGTTCTGTTCTTTGACCACACGGGATGAGCTGGGGGAGCTGGAGCACAGAGCAGACAAAGTTCCTGCAGTGGTGCTGTTTGTACTGCATGAACAGCCGGCACCCAAAGAGCCACAGCAGCCGCTGCCTCTACAAGGGCCCTCATGCTCTGCAGTCCGCTCTGGTCCTGCTGTGCACGTGGCCACACAGAGGACGTGGCAGCTTCTTTGGATGAATTTGAGTACAGAACACAGAGTATGATTATTCTGCTGAGAGAAGGCTACACCAATTCAGACTTACCCCTTCTGAGGCCCCCTTTCCAGTTTCCACCTGAAGACTTGCTTGTTTTGGAAAATTTGGGTGGTTTAACCTCGGTGACATCCCAGTCTTTCAAGCAGTGAGATGCACGATAAAGGCCATGCTGTCGTGATCTGTCTGCACTGAGACTTCTTCAAAGGCCAATTAGGATTGGATTTTGAGATTGGCAGCCTCTTAGTTAAGGGGATGCCCTTCATACTGGGTGTACTCCAGTAACTGCAAAGGCTCAGGAGCCCTTTTTACCTATATCTTTATTTAACACACTCCATTTACTAACCTGGTTTAGAAACAAAAAAGGGAAAACCCAGAGTTTATTTTTGCATCTGAGGGAACAAGAAGGTCTTGGAAAGGACCCTGTAGAGTTCAGCACAGAGTCATTAATGACCAGCACAGCTTTTGGAAATATATATTCCATATTCATGCTGACAACACAGTCTTTCAAGTCCTTTGATAATTTCTTGCCAAAAATTAATAATCATCTGTTCCCATGTATAGAACACTGATGAACTTAACAATTGTACAATTTTAGGGACCTTTGATTGCAACGGCTTTTACAAATGGATACCATTGAAACGTTACACATGGTTGGTTGCCATCTCACTTGGAGGTATTACAGTATATACCATTTGTACTTCGTGCTAAACTGCCATTTCCCTTATATTTACGTTAAGAGAACAATTTTTTGTTAATCTCCATTCTGTCTTTCCTTGGCCTTTAATCATTCTTTTCTGTGATTCATTTTATTTAAATCAATTTCATGGGTTGGAAACTGGAAGGCAGATCAGGAGCTCGGGCCCAGTGCACTTAGCACACTGATTTGGAGACTTCAAAACCCCGCAGAAATAAACAGTGATCCCCAAAGGGAACAGCCAAGTGCCAGCATCGTTGTCGGGGGTAGAGATTGGCTATGAATGCACCCAGCTAAAAACAGATGAGCTCCACTGCTTCATTAGAGAGAAACCATCGTGCTTAATCAAGGGCTGTACCAGATATCACAGCTAGAAGATAACGTTGTAACCACAGAGCAGTTATCAAGATTTTTAAAAAATTAAAGCTAAGCAAATTAAATTAAAGACATTACCTAAGTAATGCGTCCTTGGATCGCTGCCAGTTTCCTACCCTTTGAACTAAGCTCAAGTTAATTAAATGTTTAATTTTTTCGTTATTTTTTGGCCTTTGGCATATCCATCTTAGCAAACAAATATTCTTACACTGAGAGCAGCGTAGATTAGGAAAGTCAGTCAATGGAAACGGAAAGGTGTACGCACTGAGTGCATGGATTCACCGTTAGAGCTCGTGATCCAGGCAGACAGATGCGATGTGACATCTTTCATTTCTTTCTTAGCCTTTAGCCCAGCGCTGCCCTATCTCAGTGTGCAATCAGGGCTGGAGGCAGGCTGGGGATGGGACCTGTGGAACACATTCAGGGGCTTTAAGCTGTGTAAAGATGAACGTATAGGTAGCTACTGGCAAAAAAAAAAAAGGGGTTGCTATTTATTCTTCATCTCCCTATATATACAAGATTATCTGAAAGTCTTTGATGGACGGATTCGGTCCAGCACGCGCTATGTTGTGGGAAAGGAAAGAGGTGCCCATGCGCTCCTGCTTCAATCCCCGTTACTGGCTGCACGTATCCTGTGTGTTCTCAGGCTGATTTGTCAGATCCATCGTGTTCTGTGGGCCGCCAGCCTGAGCACGTGGGAGGTTTGAGCAGAACATCGTAATTCAAACTAATAACGCTGCAGTGAGGGCAGTGCTCATCAGATTAATATATTGTAATCATTTTACACTTACCACAGCACATCAAACTATAACCATCATTTACCGGCCAGTATTAAAACTCAAGCCATTAATGACTTAAAAACAGAGAGTGCTTTTACTGTTGCTCGTTACTAATGAAAATAGATTTCGAGAGGAGGAAATGAGCCTTGCTATTAACTCTTCCGGGGCCACCAGGTCTGAAGATCCCGGGGCGCGCATCCCTTGCGCCGTGCAGCGCTTGGGGCAGTCGGGGTGGCCCAGGGCCGCCTGCAGCCCCCGCTGCTCATCGCCCTGCTGGCTGCACACAGCGTTCAATGCAGGCAGCAGCCGCAGCGCCAGGCGTTGCGCCTCCCCTTAGAACGTAGCCCCGGAGCGCGGCAGAGCGCCCAGGAGGACGTTGTCCCCTTGGGGAAAAGCTGGCCACCTCATGTCCCTGAAGGCGCGGTCTACTTGCACAGCCCCAGCTGACCCTTCCCCTGTCCTGTGTGCTGCTCTCCTCGCAGAGTCTCTCTGGATGTCCGGGCAAAACGGGGCGAAGTTTCTGAGCGGTCCCACGGTGAGGTGACATCGTCAGACTTCAGCACTACATCTTCACCAACAGCAAACGAACTGGAGGTGGCACTCGACGGACTTGGGCTGTTTAAAAAAATCTCTCTCATCATCTCATGAATCTGCTGTACTATAAAAACAACAGCTTTTAAAAGTATGTATATAAAATCCATTTCTTGTTCGTTTTATTTTCTCAAAGGGTTTCCCCCCCTTTTTAAACCTACTCGACCCACATTTTTTGGTAGCGTTTTGACATAGTCTCGTAGCCACGTAGACCTGATTCTTTGTGTATCTCGTAGGAGCCTAACCATAGCCTAGCTGTTTATATTAAGGTTTTCTTTTGTTTCCCTCCCCCCCCCCCCCGTGCCCCCCGGTCTCTGTAGTTGCTGTCATTGCAGGACGTGGGGCTGCGGAGCACGCGGGTCGTCCCCCCTCCTTTTGTTTGTGCCGTCTTCGTTCACCCGGTTCTATTTTCGGCAATAAGGCAGGGACGACAGACTTTTGGGCGTCCTTTTTCTATAAGTGCTTTTTTTTTGTTGAAAGAGGTGATATAAGGTTTTTTGAAATCGTGAATTCTGAAAAAAACAAACAAACAAAAAAAAAAAAAAAAAAAAAAAAAAAAAAAGAAACACAACCAAACACTGTAAATACGATTCCATTACGTACATATAAACTATTAAGAAAGAGAAATACAAACTATTTTTGTGATGGAGTCAGTCTAAGGCAGTTTCTCTATTAAAACCGAAGACGCAGCGCAGGTGTGGCCTCGAGGCCAGCTGCCCGGGTTGGCGCTGCCCCGTCGGCGCTCTGCCCCCGCTCTGCCTGTTGCTCATGCGTGCGCAGCTTCCCCCTGACAGCCTCGTCGTCTTTTTAATTTAAAAACTGCTTTTCCCAAGACTGAAAAAGAAGCTCCGGTTTTCCTATTTATCGCATTTAAGGTTCGAAGCACACAGCTGCTCCGCGTTGCCGCTCCCAGCGCAGGCGGAGCGGCGCAGAGCTCGCATGGGTACCTTTGTTATCCATCACTTTCCGTGTTATTAACAAATTAGGAAAGCGACTTTGGTTTGTCTGGTTTTTTTTTTTTTTTTTTTTTTTGGGAATACCTCAGTGCTACAAGTTTCACCCTAGAAGCAAAGGAAGATTTTAATTTATTGTAGTTGTAAACAGAATTTAAAAAAAAAAAAAGAAAAAAAAAATAAAAGTATAAAACATCATTGCACTGTGACTGGTAGGGGAAAAACTGACAGTTTCCTATTTGCACATGTTTAATATTTGGCTGTTATATATATGGTCCTCTGTTGGGGGAGGAAACTTATGAAGGATATTTTTTAATTTAATTTTTTTAATATTGGTAAATAGGCCTGCAACAGCAACTAGAAGTACAACACGGTAGGTGGCATTAAGAACATACTGTAGTGTGGATATATTTCTTCTTTTTTTAACGTAATATTGACGAGTTTTATTAATATTTTTTTAAATTGTTACGTTTATAAATTTGGTACTTTAGGTACAGCCAGTATAAGACACTGAATGCGACATTTGTTAAAAGAGCTGCTGCACTCCTATTTTTGTAAATTTTACTAACGAGTAGAATAACGTAGCCGTTCAGTAGACAAGGTAGAGAAGGCATCTGCAATGGAAGTGAGGCACCGTACTGCGAACCAGAAGGAGAAAACCTTGGGTTTTTCCTTATTTTTGAGAACAGAATCATGCTTTTTTGTGTAATGTTTTCGGTTGGTTTTCTTTCTTATTTCCGAACAACCAGGTTTAAGCAAGATGCTGGACGCTTTTTAAATATTGAGACTTGATCAAGTGATACATAAATGAAACCATTCTTTAAAAAAAAAAAATGAAAAAAAAAAAAAGCAACAAACCAAATTCCCTGAGGTTCAGTGTACAGTCAGGGGATTTTTTATGGCTATTTTGTCAATGTTGATGATGTACTGTACTACCGGTTGGTTTTCCTCTCCATTCCCTGTCACCTCATAGAATATTCTTTGTTGATCATTGTTGTATGTTAATAGTGTATAAAATGGCTATCTTGTAAGAGTGCTGTCCTGATGCTAGTGTAGTGAATCTTCCCCTCCTCTCTTCCTCTTCTAGTACATATTGGTAGGTGTATCGTAATTAAGGTTAAAAATTTAGATGTAGTTATTCAGATTTAGGACCAGTAAGGATAGAACTTTCTCTTATTTAAGAAAAAAAAAACTTGCTAATAATTTTGGGAAGGTTTTCCTCGTTTGTTTTCTTTTCCTTCCTTTCCTCTTCTATTATTTTTCTTTCTGTTGTTGTTGTTCTTTTCCTTTGCTGATCTGATGCGGTTTCAACTAACCAAAGGTCTCACGATGTTAAAAATGCTGGCAAACTCTTACGGCATTTTGTAGATCCCCACCCTTTGAGAGGGGATGTGCCATACTACCTTAAATGCTAACGCTAGATATGCAAAACTGGATTTTTTTAATTTATTTTTTAAAAGAGGGAGGCACGGTATATTAAAACGATTTTACTAAGAGAAAAAAAAACATATTTTTTTAAGAATGCTCAGAAGAAATTGCTAATCTGTGTGAATATGTTTTAGATGTTTATATACCTTTTGAGAAGTCCCAGTGGCCCATAGCACAAATGTCTTGGAACCCGGTACGTCTCGATGTGGCTCCCCATGCTGAGGGTCCGTTAGTCCCCGCTCACCTCGGAGTCCATTCCCAAGGGGTTTTGTTCCCTCGTTCCCTCACCCGGGGGTTCTGTGCCCTTGCTGGCGCAGCGGCTCAGCACGCCTCGCTTCCAGCGCAGCGCCTGGCGGCCGCCTGCCCCCAGCTCCCACAGAGCAGCCGTGGGCCGGGGCTGAGCGCAGCAGGAGCTGCAGAACCCCAGCAGTTCAGTTCCCCTCCCCACTAAAACATAAGAAGTCGTTTGCGATGGGCTCACTTACAGCGAAGCCTGATCTGTCCCTTTTTTTGTTTCTTACACTCATCGGTGTTCATTCTAAGTTGAATTTGTAGCTTGGACTTTAAGGTAGCATGGCTCTCTTGCTGTATTTTCTTTTCCCATTGTACAGCAGCATTCATTCAGCTGGTGAATGTCACACATCTCGCTAGAGTAGTCAACCATTGGGTAGCTGTTGGTATGACCTGAAAGGTGTTCGCGTTTCTTTTCCCCCTCCCTGCTCCGAATCCTCCGACGCTGTTTCCATCGTGGGTGCGAATGAGGGCTCGTGCTGCACCACCGCCGCGTTCCGCTCTGCCGCTCAGCGCAGCCTAACCCCGAATAAAGCAATAGCGTTTCCTCCATTTCTCTGAAGGCCAGCCATGGTTACGTATGATATTGCATACGAAACTGTTTACACAAACAAACAAAACACTAACTCGTAGCTGTCTTTTACGCTATGGAAATGTCTCTCGGGTGGAATTTTTTGAATTCTGTTTGTTGTTTTTTTTTTAGTGTTTGTTTTGGTTTGTTTTTTAAGCAAAATAGTTCCGACAGAAAACTGAGGGTCGATCAGTGTAAGACGGGATGCATCGAAGACACACCGCGGGCCCGGGGTCTGCGCGTACACTGTAGAGTTTCATACGTACAGAATCGAAGTCGAACCCATTTCTGTGTGTGAACACTACGTGAGGAGATTCTGTAAGCTAAGCAATACTTTAATACTGTAATAAAATTACCAAAAAAATAATAATAAAAAAAATAAGTTTGAGAGAGTAAAGGTGCGCCGCGGTGCAGCTCCGCCGAGCCGGGCGGCTGCAGGCAGCGCTGCGGGGCCCAGCGGGACGCGCCGAGTGCCGCGCAGAGCGAGCGCCGCCGGGCTGTGTGTCACTGCAGCGGGGAGCAAACCTGCGTCGTTCTGTCGTGCGAGGTCCGAACTCCATCAGTGCTAGAGTGCGAGTCGAAGCGTTTCAGGTGGTCATAAATGTACCTAAATATACTATGGCACAGTGGCGAGCCTAGCCCTTCCTTTTATACTTTAGTATGAACTGATGAGAACTTTGGTAGTGACTTTTTTTTTATATATATACATATATATATGTATCTATATATATCAAGCATCTTTCAGGTCTCTGTGTATGGCTTTCTGAAGCCCTGTTGTAAAATACTATGTGGATGGGGGTCTCTCACATCACAGATGTGGAAAGTATAATTTTATATTTGTATTTTCAAATAAATAAGTTTGTGAAAGGTTTCCATCCTCTACTGTGGTCCAGAAATCAATGTGTTTGTCTGACAAAAAAATACAATAAACTGTTTTGAACAGATCTCCTTGTCCCTGTCGTTTGGGGCTGGCAGTGGGGCAGGGAGCGCTCGGACCTGGGCTGGGAGTGAAGGGGGGGAGGGGGCTGCAGTGTGTCGGGGTGGGGGCAGGACGGGGACGGCAGCCACATCACCATCGTTCAGCAAACATCTCTGAACGATGAGTGCAGGGTGGGTGGGTGATGCCCAGAGCTCCGCTCCTTCTACACAACAGGGTCTGTGTCAAAATGTACATTTCTACACCAATGACAAAATAAGATTTTGTGTTCGCCTCCCAGCTATTGAAATCAATTTGCAGCTAAAAGCAGAGTTGTAAAATAAGCAAAATTTTCCCTTCTCTGTCAAATCAGTGTCCCGATAAAGAGAACAAGGGACATAAACATGATTTGCGTCCCTCTACTCCTGGCATAAAGCGTTTATGGCTGAGCCTCAGTGCAGGGTCTGTAAGTCAGTCGTGCTCTGAGCTCTCAGTGCCCCCATCCTCTACTGCCCGGCCACAGGGACCTGGAGCTGGGACTCCCCAAAGATGGGATCCTCGAGTTGAGACCCTGGAGCTGGAACCCCCTGGGGATGGGATCCTGGATTTGGGATCCCCGCCACCGCCGCTCCCTGCAGACTGCGGCTCAGCAGCAGAAGCCAATCCAGCGCTTATTAATTATGAGCTTAAGCACTTCCCTTCATGGCTATTTACAAGGGCCGCCTCGTTATTAATAAGGAATAACACAATGGGGCAGTTTTAAAGCCCATTTGTTCCGCAGGGCATCTGGGCACACGACAGCAGTGCCCCAGGAGGGCTGTGACTGTGCGCCCATGGACAAAGCCCCAGATCCCCCCAGCATCCCACGTTCAGCCGCATTACATAGCATAAGACATGAGCAGTTAATTGCAAGTGTGCCGGGGTTGGACCTGAGCTGGTAAATGGAGGATCCAACATCCAGGAGCCAGAGTGGGAGGGTGGCAGTGGCCATCCCGTGTCCCATTACCACCAGGCACTAATTGCTGTGACATATTGGCTGGCACTCGCCTGGGGAGCGGGTGAGAGAAGCCTGCGTATCGCTCCCGCTCAATAATAATTACTGATTAAAAACGAGTTAAAAAGGCAATGAAGATGGAGACGTGCATTAACCAAGCGACCCCCGCCCCGAGCCAGCTGTGGGGAGATGGCATTACAGAGTCAGCACTTGAGGCATCACACGAAGGGTGGCTCAGATCCCCCCCAGACCTGCTGTGCAGCGGTGCCACAGCTGCCCCAGCTCCCACAGCCCCATCCCTGGGAGCAGAGCAGCACCGGATGGGACTGGAGAACTGCTCTGCTCAGGAGCAGCATGGTGAGGGCTCTGTTTTCCAAAAGGAGTCTGAATAAGTGTTTTTCCTTTCCAGTTACTGCACTTCACTCGCAGCTCCTGACAGCTTTGAAAATGGCTCCAATTGAAATCATCATTTCATATTGATTTTGGGCTTTTTCTTCCCTCCCCTGACAGCAATGCACCGAAGGTGTTTTCGAGTGTTACTGAAATAGAAAGCTGCTCTTCCCCCTGAGCTCCTGGCTCCCTCCCCAGCTGTCCCAGGTGTCCCCACGCACAGGGGGCAGTGCTCAAGGCCTCACACTGTTCCATGGGTCCCAGTCCCATTCCAGTCCTCCTCTCCCAAACGCAGAGGCTCCTGATACACAATGTAAACACCAGCAAGAATAGCAGGCACGAGAAAGCATATATCTGTCTCTGTCTTTTTGTCTTTTGCCTGGGGTGCATTTGAGCCACTAATAGAAACACACAGGACTTGCACAGGGCTTTGCATCATCAAAGCCAGGCAGTGTTTTGTTCCTCCTCTGCCCTTTTTATCCACAGATCCAAAGCACTTGTTTCCATTATCTCAGCACCTTCTATAGGTGGGAAATACTTCTTTTATCACAAAAGAGCAAATCCGGATGGGGCTGTGGCTGCCTTGTTCTGTCCC